ATCGGCTACCGATCACTATCGGCCGATAATCACGTTGGGATGATTGATCGGCTACCGGTCACTATCGGCCGATAATCACGTTGGGATGATTGATCGGCTACCGGACACTATCGGCCGATAATCACGTTGGGATGATTGATCGGCGGTCTCTAAAAAAACCGATCTCAAGCTGATGACACTGCCGTGAGAGGTTTGGCACGACATGCAGCTGCATCGTCTCAGTCTCTGTCCGGCGCGGGTGAAATCATTATAAGGCATATTTCTTCATGAAATAACTTATAAAGTAATTTGAAAACCTTGTGTGAGACGAAATTTCACAAACAGCGTGAGTGAATCACCGCTCGCGTGCTCTCCCTCTCAAAATACGCAAATGGCTTCAAATCACCACACATCACGTATAAGCGAGCTGCACAGTTGACACAGGAATTGTCACTTGCACAAACGAGGCAGTGTCACATTGTCACTAAAGTTTATAAATTGCATTACTTTTTAATTCTTGCCAATGTTTTAACCATTCAGTGCTCGTGCCTGGAGACCGTGCGCTCATGTACACTCGCTCGCAGCGCACACACATAATGCTAGGTTCACATTACTCCGTTTGTCGTGCAAACGTGGTGCGTATTTTTTCCGCGCTCATGTTAACGGGTTAAAGCGTTCACTGCACACGGTTGCGGTCCGGCAGTGCGTTCCAGGAGCGGTGCATCTGCCGTAGTGCAGAGATATGCTGTGTCCGAAATCGTTCACTCATTCACTAATCCCTATATAGTGTATGGCAGTTGAGTGGACTATATCAGAAAGAAGTGAACGGATTCGGACGGTGACGTATAGACTGCGCGTGAGACTTGGAGCTGTTGCAAAAACATCTTTGTCACATATGTAATTTTATATTACATGTAAATAATATTAATAGCAATAACACTCAAATAGCCTACTTTATTGTAATTATGCATAGGCCTACCTCCGCGTCAGCTTTGTGGTTTCATTGATGGCAGATTATTAATTTGTTTTGTAATACTTTTATGTTCATAATCATACTATTAAAATACTGAGAACAAAAATAAACACATTAACACATGTTCATAATTTTATGTATTTAGTATCTTGAAACTCTCCCGAGCAGAGTTTTTGAGCTGAGATAAGATAATGGTCGTAGAGCGCCCTCAGCCTAGGCGATTGTTAATTTTACATCAGAATGAATAGGCTTCCTACAGGTGATTAACGAACATTTTTAAATTATCCACCAAATTATCATCATTTTTGTAAGTTAACAACGATGCCACCTCAGTAAAATATTTTTGTTATTGCCTACATAATATATTTTTATATAATGTATGAAATAAACGTTAAAGTAGAAATAAGAAAGATGTAATCGCCATTTCTCATTCAAACTCGCTCACTCCCTCTCTCCCTCTTCCAGCTCGCCGGTTCTCCGCATTGGGTTGTGGGAAATAGTGCTTCAGCGAGTGTACATCGGTTGTACACTCGAAACCAGAATGCATTGTGGGTAAAAAGTAGTGAACGAATGTAGGGAATGAAGTAGTTCACTCAGAATTCGGACAGCACTACAAAATGGTTGACACCCGATATAGTGCACTATATAGTGGATAGGGAGTGGTTTCAGACAGTTTCCGCACCGAGTCTATTGCAGCGCTGCAAGCGCTGAATTAAAATTAAAGTAACAGCGCATTGTTTGCAGTATAAACATGGATTGACACGAAAATGCATATTATTAAAGTCTACTGTGTTTTAATAGTCTGTGTTTCACAGTCAACACGTATGGCTTTTTGGCTAGGTTTAAAGGGAAAGAGCACTTTTAGATAAACAATAATAGGCAATAATAGATGGCAGGTAGGAAAACAAAGTTCTTTATGAACGGCAGGATTGCTTGTAATAAAAAGATCTGTATGGGTGATCGGTATATCGGCAGATACTGCTTTCTGCGATCGGTGATCGGCCTCAAAAATCCTGATCGGAGCACCCCTAATTTTAAAGTGCAAATAGTTTCTGAAATGCCCACTCCTGGGTTGCTCTACCATGCAGATCACATATTGGGCATTCAGTTTGTTTTCCTTGTGGAGCACATGGGAGTTTCTGTAAAATGCTTACTAGGTAAGCAAGGTATGTTTTTGCTCGATTAGAAATAACCTGTTCAATTTCTGCCTAAAGAATAATTTGAAGCAAGTACTCTATTTTAATGCAAGCAGATAATATTAGACTTGGTGGGGATATTTCCACTTTTCAACATCTGTCACTACTGAACTATTTAAATAAAAACAGTGAAGGCAGATGAAGCTTATAGGCCTTAAATATTATTTATATTATTATTTATTTTTTAATCAAATGTGTTGTTTTTTCTTTTGTCATTTCATTAACTTTCATCTTTTATTGATCTTTTAGGCTTCTGAAAACAGCACTAGTCAAGGATGACCTGTCGAAATTTCATCTATGACAGAGTGGTCCCTGTTTGAGAAGAAAGAAAACTGCACAATGCATTGTGTATATAAGCATGTACATAGGATTAATGTGTTAAAACAGTTGTTTTGCCTTGTTTGACCTACTTTCATGTGCCTCAGCATGTACAATTGGACTGTTAAAGTGTGCTATTTTTTCCTTTTCTTTTTTTTTGTTATTTAAATATTGTGTATACGAATACTAAGTATAATTCATTATAATGCTAAAAGGAAAAACATCCTCAAAACAGATATTACTTTGTGGAATCATCTTTGCCTCCGTTTAAGTCAGTAAAAATGTTTTTTTTACCCTAACTGTGCTCTTTTTATGTGTGTGTCTGATCACTAAAACATTTGATCTGTACCACCATGTGCATTTACGTCTTTTAGCCACATGATGGCGACAGCAGTGCATTTATAGTTAATTACTTCTGCTTTGTATTCTGTCATAGCATTATAATTTCAGTCCTTTACGATTTATTTCTTTTAATCATTTACGAGAAATGTCATGGCCAGGATTCCTATCTGCAGCTCATGCATATTTCACAATAGAGGTTCGATCAGATCATCAGGCCTGTTCTCCAACTCACAGGTGCTTTTTTTTTGCACAGATCTGACATCAGTCTCTGGGAACGTTTAAGGTCACGTTTGGTAAAAGCACTGTGGATCTTAGATCAGCCCAAAAGGCAGCATACCTGGCGTGAGCTTCATTAACACCCAGCCGTGCTGAGAGGGAGAGGTGGCTGTGTCCTTGGTTCCTGCAGACAGGAGGCATAATGTTTCACTCCTGCAGCGAGAACTCATTTATGTGTCTGTAATCACCTCAACCTTATGTCTGCTCTTACTGCTAAATATTTACCCCCTAGTCCAGTCGTTTCTCAAGGAGAGGTTTTCGGCAGAATGTGCTCTAGTTTAAAGAAATAGTTCACTCAAAAATTTAAATTCGCATCACTTTCTCACCAATGGATCCTCTGCAGTGAATGGATGCGAGTCCCAAACAGCTGATGAAAACATCACGGTAATCCACACAACCCTAGCGCATCAATTAACTTAGTCTTGTGAAAGTGAAAAGCTGTGTGTTTTTAAGAAACAAATCCAACATTAAGATATTTTTTTAACTTAAAACGGTATCTTCTGGCCAAAATATGAGTCCTCTATAATTTTCGCTTTCTCCCATAAAAAAGTTGTCTTGTCTGAATCAAAGCTGAATTTCTCCGAAACTGTTCCCAAACTCATCTACATCTTGGATGGCCTCGGTGTGAGTATTTTAAGCAGGTTTTCATTTTTGGGTAACCTATTCCTTTACTGTAATTCCTGTTGAATTAGAGAAGGCAAGTATATAGCCTTATTTAGTGGATTCAAACATAATAGGGTTCTTTTATGCTTGAATCCACTAAATAAGGCTATAGCCTACTCATAGTTTTAACATGTTTTGATAGTAATCCTTCAAACATTTATTGATTTTGTGGAAGAAACACCACCTTTGAGTATGGGTCAAGGGTGCACCATCTTCAGGCCTCTCCATTGAATCACCTTTAACAAACACCAACAGCATGTGGAGAATGATTGCGACCGCTTGTTGGAATGACAGGTGTTATCAACTAAAGCGGACCAGGCGTGTCTCTTCACGAGGCCGGCTAATGATGCGCAACGATGGGGTAGTTTATTCCTCACTGTGAATTAGTATCATAAAGGTTGCCACAGTGACAGTGACATCACTCATCAGTACCAGCAAATAATTTTTGCTAGCTATATTTCAGTGACCATCAGTCTACAAGTATGCATCTGACTCCTACAGCACTTGAATGTTGTTCGTGGTCAATGTTTTTAAATCGATTTTTTCCAAGACGAACACCATCAAGAGTTTGCAAAGTGAGCCTACACTGACTTTGGTTAATTGAACTTCTAAAAAGGATGAAACCAAATAACACAATTAAGTATTCTGAGGTTGATGTGTAATTATCATATTCCCATCCTCTAATTCATGCATTAATTGCTTTAATTAGCAAAGCAATTTAAAAAACAATGCTTAGCTCTGTAATAGCATCCACCTTCAGTAACTGTTTATGTAAATTCCCTTGTGTTTGGTGTAGGTTAATGAAATGTTTGTTATTAAATGGGAATTCTGTGTGTTCAAGTATGTAATTATCAATAGTTTAGCTGTAAATTTAATCATTGTGTTTTAACCTTCTAAGTGATGCATGCAATGCAACAGGGTTCTTTGTTCACAGGTATGTGACAAATAACTGGTATTAATCTAAAGCTGGTGGAAGTGACAATACCCTTGTGCAAGGTTAATTGAAAGTTTAAAATGTATAATTGTAGTTTATAATCGCATTTTTTTTTTTTAAACATACTTCCTTTAAAAAGAATGGGTCAGATGACCTTTGTTGGAATATTTCCTTTCAGCAAATATTATGGCCCTTGGACACTGCTTGGAGTTTGGACCATCTCAGTTTCCCCCTTTTCTCCACTGTGCATTGAAGAAACCTAAAATTCCAAAAGCATATTTTAAAACAACTAAGCACAATACAACTTCTTTAGACAAGTTAAACATACAATTTATTGTTTCAAGGTTTGGGGTTGGTGCACTGAAAAAAAAGGTAACTTAAAATGGTAACATCTAAATATTCTGGTTTAGTTTAAGGTTCAAAATATTATTTAACATCATTGAACCAACTATCAATATCCAAACGATGTTTTATGGGTTAAATCGGGAAATAGCTCAATTGCAGATTACCCCTTTTTACAGTGTAAAATATTTTTTTCTGTTTTTGTAAGAAGCCTTTTGTGCTCATTATGCATTTATTTTAACGAAAATAAAGTAAAAATCATTATATTGTGAAAGATTATTACAATCATTATTATAATTAACTGTTTACTAAGTAAATACATTTTTAAATAATTTATTCCTCTAATGCAAAGCTGAATTTTCAGCCTCCATTACTCCAGCCTTCAGTGTCACATGATCTTTATAGACATCATTTTAATAGGCTATGCTGATTTGCTGCTCAAAAAACATTTCATATTATTATCATCAATGTTGAAAACAGTTGTGCTGCTTCATATTTTTTTCATATATTTGTGGAAAGGTCTACATTTTTTTCCAGGATTCTTTGATGTTCAGTAGTTCAAAGGAATAGCCTACTTAGAAATACAAAAAGAATCAACTTTTGATTTAAGGTACCCTCCTTACTGAATAAAAGTATTAATTTCTTTAAAAAATATTGACCAAATCTATCTATCTATCTATCTATTTATCTATCTAAATTTACACTGTAAAGGTGGCACAAAAGCACTTCTAAAGTGGCATTAATGCTGCTCAGAGGGAGAAGGGTCTGGCTGCAGCCTGGCACTTGCACTCTCAGACTTGTATTCTCAGACACTTGCGCTTCCGGCTAGCGACGTCACTTGCAGGCTTTATTTTTTATTTTGTTCTATTTTTTATTACTTTTTGTTTGAATCTCTCAACATTTTACAACAGTAGCCAGGTGGTGAAGACAAGAAAAAATAAACTAAATTACAATGTCACTTGCAATCGCCACTTGCACTCTCAACATTAAAACTAATTTAGTATTATAACATACAGGGTCCTGCAAGAAAAAGACAAGACCCGCAAATCCGTGGCCACAGAACAGCGGAATATGAACGCAATGCACAAAGTCTCTCGTTAAGCGTTTTCCTCCTGTAGAAAAACATAAACACTTAACATGGCTTAATGTATTACGATGCTATTAAAATATCAAATTAAATATACATTTTATTAATATAATGAATATGTAGGCTATATAGTATTTTCCTCCCATACCGCAAAACGTGGCATAATGTGGCATAATGGACTAAAAAGGCCAAACTCAATATGCTCCTCTACATTATCAATATACATAACTAATAGGCTATGTACAGGCAAGCAGGTGAGCCCAGAATAAATGCAACACGCACAGTTTCGTGTTAAGCGTTTTTCCATATAGAATAAACTGTCTACAGCTCTTTTATATAATTGTCTTTGTCCATTACAGTTTTTTCCAATTGCTAAAACACAATTTTTCAAACTAGTCTGGTTTTATCAAAAAACTTAACACAATTCACAAAACCACACACCCAAACTGCAAAATACCTCATATATCCTGCAAAATGAAGCACTGCAACCGAAACTACACATAGCATTATCAAAAGCAAACTTTTGCATGAAATGGCACACAGCAAGTGTCTGAGAGTACAAGTCTGAGAGTGCAAGTGCAAGGCTGCGGCTAGACCCACTTGTGCTCAGAGGTGGTATAATCTAAGATAGATCTATCTAACTATCTTTTAAACTCTATAACCCAAAATCTTTGTGGTGTTGTTTTTTAAGATGAAGATCATATTCTGTGAAACGTAGCTCAACGTTGACAATCGTGGTGATTTGTCTCACAACACACATAACAACGAGTCTTTTGGCGTCGATTAATCTTTGCACAGCCGCCTCACACACACCTGTCAAAAGACCTCTAAGAGAAAAGTACTTTTCTTTCACTTTACCCGCTCATGTGGAATGTCACAAAAGCTCTACGTCCGACAGACTTGAACTCTTCCGGATGTCAAGCCTGTTACTAACTTCATCAGAAGTGCATCAATTCCCATTAGTTGCAAATGAACGTACGCGAGGAGCGTCACCTCGATGCCCATTTGATCAGCGTCGCCGTTTAAATGCCACTTCGGTTCTCATTAACCTCCGCACCGGACATTTACCGCGCGTCCGAGCCGAGCTTCCCACTAGACACACAAAAAGGGGTTGATAATACTAATCCTCGTGTTGTGACAGCGCTGTTTATAATGATTAATGATCCCGTGTTTTAGGTGATTACAGTGGCGCCGAGTCTCCATACTTGTTTCAATTACTGTTGTGAAGGTCGCTAAACTAATCCCTCACCCCCGTACGCATAATCTTTTCCCATTAAAAATCATACAGTGCTTTGTGCACTCGTGCTCATTTGAATCACAGGCTCTGCTAAAGGAAAAGACATCTTCAAGTACTACTGCTTTCGACAGGAAATATGATGATGATGTTGATGATGTTTGTTGTGCTCTTCCCAATGCTGTGACTCATTGACCTGCTCCCTCAAGGGATTTCTCAATTGGGCTTTAGCATTTAATACATCGTTATTTGTCTAATTAGAGTGGATGGAATGATATTTAGGCCTCATGAATTTGATCTGCTACCGAATTCTTTCTCTACAGGCTTGAGTGGGTCATATATTATTGTTGACAAGACCAGAAGCAACCTGTCATTT